AGCCGAAATCTCCTGAAAAGAGTATGTTGTCATTTTGTGCTGGAAAAAAAGATGGTAAATATGCTACTAAGTGCAACAGTTGTTTGAAATTTATTTGCAAAGTGCATAGTACTACAAAAATACTATGTGATAACTGTCAAGACTGAACTACGTAATTGCGTTAAAATGATCCTGAGTGTTAAAAATAGAAGTGATTATATTATCTGTGGTTTTTTAACAAATGATAGTTAGAGGCTATAAGAGATACTTTTTTATAAGATTAGTTTCTTAAGAATAAGAAAACAAAATATCTTTGGTAAAAACTTACAATAGGGTAGATTTTTGTATTGTTAAAAAAAGCATACACCAAAAGTTGTAACAATTTTGTGATTTCTTGTAATAATTAAGTAAAGAAAATTATATAAATAAATAAAAGTTGATTATACTAAAGAAGGGTTCCATTTAGCATTTATGCTCTTTTAAACTGTCACATTGTTAAACTTGCTCTCTAAAGGCAAATTTTGCTTGGGGGCTGCGCAGCCCCCATGATACCAGTTATGATTGTAAAATTTACGAAACCAGTTAAGGGTTAACCAGGCAAATGTTAATTATCTGTAGACTGATTGCATCAAGTCTCTCATAATCCTTTATTTTAACATTAAACTTGTTGAGTTATCTTAATGGATGCTTTATCTCGTGTTTCGCTGACCCCACTAACCCTTCCCACTTGAGCAAAGGAAACATGATTTAAATCACATGAAACAACCACCATCCATCCACTGACCCAGTGAGTAGTCCTCATTGAAACATCGTCGAAAAAAGGGCGTCTAAAAGCAGTCACCACCAGCTTCTTACACATACATACAAAATAACAATATATTAATGGTATCAGTGAAAAAGTCTGTTACACAAATTGCTTATTACCACAATTTCTCAAATTTCCTGATTCTGGACTTCTCAGAAAGGGAAATGTTGTTATTTCCTGGGAAATACTAAGATTCAGAACTTTTTTAATTTTAAAAATAACTGTAAACTGAAATATTTACTCTATATCTATAAAACAGCTTAAATTGTCACAAAATTTTTTAACAGGTAGGTAGGTGAAGCTAAAAAACTTAATATAAAATTATAATCTGTTAAGAAAAAGTTCTTAACAGATCCAAAACGATTGCAAAAAACTCAATCCAATTAAATATTTTTTTAAGATGATAATGAATTCTAAAATGAAAGACAAAAAATGCTTCTGCAAATTTCTGCATATTCTGGCTACAATGTTCATGTCTGTTTGAATAACATCAGTAAAATTCAGCAAAAAATTATCAAAATATTTTTAATTTTTGTAAAATTATTATGAATTTAATGAATCAACACAAATTTTATTTTTTTTTAAATCTGTAAAAAACAGAATCTCATTACACTTTAATTTCTTTAAAAAATTTTCAACCAAAAAAAAAAAAAAAAAAAANAAAAAAAAAAAAAAAAAAAAAAAAAAAAAAAAAAAAAAAAAAAAAAAAAAAAAAAAAAAAAAAAAAAAAAAAAAAAAAAAAAAAAAAAAAAAAAAAAAAAAAAAAAAAAAAAAAAAAAAAAAAAAAAAAAAAAAAAAAAAAAAAAAAAAAAAAAAAAAAAAAAAAAAAAAAAAAAAAAAAAAAAAAAAAAAAAAAAAAAAAAAAAAAAAAAAAAAAAAAAAAAAAAAAAAAAAAAAAAAAAAAAAAAAAAAAAAAAAAAAAAAAAAAAAAAAAAAAAAAAAAAAAAAAAAAAAAAAAAAAAAAAAAAAAAAAAAAAAAAAAAAAAAAAAAAAAAAAAAAAAAAAAAAAAAAAAAAAAAAAAAAAAAAAAAAAAAAAAAAAAAAAAAAAAAAAAAAAAAAAAAAAAAAAAAAAAAAAAAAAAAAAAAAAAAAAAAAAAAAAAAAAAAAAAAAAAAAAAAAAAAAAAAAAAAAAAAAAAAAAAAAAAAAAAAAAAAAAAAAAAAAAAAAAAAAAAAAAAAAAAAAAAAAAAAAAAAAAAAAAAAAAAAAAAAAAAAAAAAAAAAAAAAAAAAAAAAAAAAAAAAAAAAAAAAAAAAAAAAAAAAAAAAAAAAAAAAAAAAAAAAAAAAAAAAAAAAAAAAAAAAAAAAAAAAAAAAAAAAAAAAAAAAAAAAAAAAAAAAAAAAAAAAAACACAGAGCTTTATCTTCTCCATGTAGTAGATTTCTCTTGAAACTGTCCCAGTCAATTTACATAATAATTATTTACAAATTTCTTAAAAATTGTAAAATTAGGACCTTGTCACATTTTAATTTCTTAAAAAATTTCAACAATACTTTGAAAAAATAAAAAAAAACTAGAAAAGCAAGTTACGAATGAAGTACTAAACTTTTATACAGATATATTAGAGTATTTCATAAAAAAAAACATCAATCAAATTAACCCAAAAGTCCTTTAGGAAGTTTCTGCATGCACAGGAAATATTTCAGGAAATATTTACAATGATACAGAAATTAATAAAAATGAATAATTTATATACAGAAATTGACCAATTATGGAAGAAAACACAAAATACGTGAACAGACAATAGTATTTATATCAGAACATATTTATTAACAGATGTCAGCACTTATACATAATGGTGTTTGATGTAAAATACACCATTCTTATGATGTATCTTAGAACTACCAAATGAGCAGGTTTAGGTGAAAGGATAGTTTTGACAGTGTATACACTCTGTAAAATATTTATTTGTATACCCAATTTTAGAAGTGTTGTTTTAATTTTATTTTAATGTTTGAACCTTAATGGAATTGAAAAGAACTGTATGTCAGAATATTCAGTAAATACAGTCCAACTTGATTGTAATGAGTTCACAGTTATTGCAAGCAAATCTTTATTTCCTTTTCAATTAAGACATTTTCATATAAATATTCATCATAGATATAACAAGCAAATTTTTGCCTTGTATAATATTTAATGAGTGGGGAAAACTATTCTTATCTGAATGAACCTGCCTACTGAATTGTCAAAACTATGTTAAGAGTGTTTTATGATTTCTCTCATGTTCTGTTTTAACATTTATCCTTCAATTTTCAATCTTGTTTAATGACAAACATGTTCCTCATAAAAAAGTTTCTCCAAATTCATGAAAAAGTCAAAAATCTTTCAGATGCATGAATTTTAATTTACTGTATGTTTCATATTATTACTATAATAATGTCATTTATAAAAAAAATAATAGATTAATTTTATTACCAATATCAAATTAGTTCTCCAACTTGGTGCTTCAAAATTTTTTTATGAAGTATTTGTCGGTCATTTGTACGTGTTTTGTTAATCATTTGATATTATTTGTTAGTGAATAGCTGCCAAATAACAAAGTTGTTAGCATCCCTATCATGAA